TGAGCAATCATCCTTCAAAGTGGACTACACGGTCAGTGCTATCTGGAGCCCTGAAGAGAATTCATGTAGACTATTGTGGTCAATTTCTTGACAAATACAATGCATTTGTCGTCAATGATTCTTCGGTTTAGGTGCCCGAGCAGTATCCGAGGTCCTACACAAATCATTTGTGTAGCGCATGCACTTTTGGTGCATCTTGTACTAATATTTATGTGTCTTTTTCTAAGTGGCCTAAAGTTTTTCCATGAAGTCGCCAAATTCCGATTTCGCAATTCAAGCATCGAGAAAATTTTCTAGTCAGAAGGGGTCTCTTTGGTATTAGTGACTGATAATTGCTCTCATTTTGTAACAGACGCAGTCACTACCTGGTTGAATGGTATAAAGTACAGACATCTGTTCAGTGCTTTCAGACAATTCTGTTCTAATAGTAAGGGAGAACGTTTCGTCAAAACATCCAAAACTGCTATTAATTTCATTGCTGCTTCAACAACCGACGAACTGAAGAAGGGATTAAACATATTCCTACATCAATATAGAAATGTTAAACATTGTTTAACGAGACCTCGTCAAGGTTATTAAAACGAAGGGTTCTACGTTCGATTATGAGGTGCGTAACGGGGTAAAAATCATCATGTATGGCGTTGTTTATAGATTCTGTTTTTCTTTCTAGTGCAGGGAGACCAAGAATAAATGCTTTGGAAGACGAAGAGCAAGCCCTGCATGCTCTGAACCTACACGATGACTCGTAAGACTACCTCGTAAACTAGCTTTCTTTTCTGTACATAACCCGCGAATTTTAATTTTCAAATAAACGACTAGTGGCTTCCACTCCGTGTTCTATCTCTTAATGTGAAGTTCTCGGCTAAAATTGTGTGTTGTGGTTTCAGTACTTCTCTGCATTTCAGTGACTGCTGATTTCACATTCCTAGCGCTCTAATTAAGAGGATAGTGGTACTTTTCCTCACTGAGTAAATTCTATTGTTTTGATCGTTTATTACGTACCTAGACTACTGTTTTCACTTTAATTGAATTTATTTCAGTTAAAGTATTCGGTTAGAGTATCGTTTCTGTTTATAAAGTAGTTTGTCGTCGGTATTTTTGAGTACTTTGTTTTCTATTGTATTTGTTAGTACTTTAGGCTCTAACAGTCTACAGTTTTTCACTTTTTTGTCATAGATCATTCTTGTCTCTGCGTATTATTGAATCCAGTTCCTTTTTTTAGATAAACCCCTGTTTAATGACTGGACAGCGCAAAGAAATCAATTGCCAACGTCCGGACTGTCGTTATCCCGTTGAAAGCGGCGTGCAGTGCGATGAGTGCAAAGGCTGGTACCACGATGTTTGCACGAATTTAACGCCTGTGGCTTTCAAACGGTTCAGTAAAAACTGTTGCGCATGGCTTTGTCAACAGTGCTGTTCGGATGTAAACAGCTTGCTAACCGAGACCGTCTCATTGATAAATGCTGCGAAAAAGTGTTTTGGCAAGCGTAGTCGGGACACATCAAACAGTAATCGTTTTGTTGGTGTGAAGCGAACTCAGGTGAGTTTGAAAATAGGTGACTCACACCAACCAAAGGAAGAAAAACCGTCTTCAAAGAGGTCTGTCTTATTCAAAAACGTAAGAAGAGAAGGTTCTTCTTTCCCTCGTCTTCTGAATGGTATCCAGCAGGAAACGCCTAGAAGCTGCGGTCGTAAGGCTCAATCGGTTTCTAGCGAGAAATATAACTTGACCTCCCAAATCGTCGACAACCCTCCGGAATCCCACAGTATGTTTGACGCGACTGTTGTTGCTTCTCGTAGCGATATTGACGACTGGTTATAGGTTGTAAGGAAGAAACAACATAACGATATAAAGGGTAATCCTTCTCCCATAAAAGTAGTCGAGAAATCGAAGGCTGATCACAGTAACAGATCAGTCATTTTTCATAGAATCAAGGAGAGTGAAAGCTCTGAACCGAAAATTCGTTTTAAGTGTAACATTGTGCTGATAAAACAACTACTTAGTCAACTCATGACTCAACATATTCCCGGAGTCACATTGCTAAAAGTGTCAGACTAGGTAATCTAGCGAACTTGAAGCCTAATCAATCCAGACTGCTGACAGTAGTATCCAAATCTTCGAATGAACGCGATTTAATTTTACAGAATGGACATAAATTAAAGGGTTCATGAGTTTTTGTCCGTAAAGAATTGCCGTCGGTAGACAGCGTAAAAAGACGGGAAGCCGAAAATGAACTACAACCTAGGTTAGACGCTGGCGAAAAGGACATAAAAATTGTAAACTTTTGGATTGTGAGGCCTCAACAGAGAATGATAAGGAAGCCACTCTGAGTGTAGCACGAAACCATTTAAATAGGTTTCGGATCTGTTACACTAATGCCCGAAGCTTACTCAATATGCGATCGGAACTAGGTGTACAGATTGACTCTACCAAGCCAGATATCGCAGTCACAGAAACTTGGCTGACGCAGCCTACAGATAGTATGGGACTTGATTTTGAGGGCTTTAGGTTGGTAAGAGCCGATAGAATCCAGAAGCGTAAAGGAGGGGGAGCAGCTCTATTCATTAGGAATGCTATCCCATTTGCCATTATCGACAGTGTATAGCATGAGAGTGGGACGTGTGAATTAGTTATTTGCCGCTTGAAATGCAAGGGACAAGAGCTGCTGATTGGCTTGGTCTATCACAGTCCAGGCCGTGAGGTAAATGAGGTCTTGCTAAGCAGTCTCAATACTTAGTCATAAAGTGGTCGATGTCTAGTCCTAGGGGACTTTAATACACCTATGGTAGACTGTGAAAATCTGCTAACTGAATCGTCAGAAAATTCCTTCGAGCAAGAACTAGTTGATGCGGTTATCACATGTGACCTAGTGCAACATGTGAAAGAAGCGACTAGGTATCGAAAAGCTTAGAATGCCTGTATCTCCACCCTCTGTAAATCTAGAAGGTTGTACGAAGAAAAAATCGCCAAGGAATATCCTAATCAAAGGACAAAAAGAAGAGGAAATATTCCAGCACTATGGAGAGACAGTACTGCCGCATCATTAGTGGAGGACGACTTTGGTAAGGCTCAAGTGTTCTCGAACTACTTTAGCAATGTATATACCGTAGAAAAGCCCTTCCCGTGAGTTCATACAAACCCCCCCACACACACACACACTGGACAGCGTGACCATTAAAGATCTGGATGTGTTTGGTCTGCTGAATAGGCTTAATATAGGTAAATCCACGGGACCCGACGAACTGCATCCCAGGTTACTAAAGAAATTAACTTACTTCGTTGCGAAACCTTTAAGTACATGCTTTAATCTATCCGTAACGCAGGGTCGTTTACCAAAAGACCAAAAGAACACCATAGTAAGTCCTGTCTTCGAAACAGTTATGAAACATAAACCTGAGAATTACCAACCCGTTGGCCTAATTTGTGTTGTTGTAAGATTTGTAGAAAAGATTATTCGAAAGGAGCTGTTTAAGTAATTCGATGCAAACCGGATCCTTTCGGAAAAGCAGCATGGTTTTATTATAGGTTATTCCTGCCTCACTAAATTATTAGTGGCTCGTGAAAACTGGTGAGCTCTTAAAGACCAAAAGTTACATAAAAACGTAGCCTACACTGACTTCAGCAAAGCTTTTGACCAAGTTCCGCACAACCGGCTGCTATATAAGTTAAGAAATGTCGGGGTTCGAGGGAATCTATTGTTGTGGGCAAAAGACTTTCTAGTTGGGCCAAAACTTAAAGACTACTGCACACTGTCGTGCAATAGCCACCAAAGGTTTTAGAACTTTATGATCAATATGTAGGGCTTTTAGTCATGTCGACGCTAAAACGCTTTTGACTCAGTATACAAAGTTCGTGCGTACTAAACTCGAGCACTGCATAGAATTGATTAGACCCTGCTTAAAAAAGACAGTGACCTTCTAGAAAAGGTCCAGAGATTCAGATTTGTGTAGTAAGGACAGAACGCTTACGGCCTATGTTATTCCTTTTCTAGTATGCTTCTGTGAGTGTCCAGTCTTCTCTTGAATGAGTCGATTGGAGATGCGGACACCACTACTTCGGGTAACAGGTTCCAAGAATTGATGACTCGATGTGAAAACCTGTGTACCAAGGGTATTTTCTTCGCCCTTGGCTTTTCTACTCGCCCGCTATTCCCCCTGAGATATCCCAACATAGTGGGAAGAAAAAGAGAGGATATATTAGTCCCAAAATCATTACTTAGCATTATATGCATCAAAATCAGATCACCTCTTAATCTGAGATAGGACAGAGTAAAGAGGTCTAGCTTTTCAAGCCGATCTTTGTATGGTAGCTAGCCCCCATATGATGCTCGACTGGCTAGGCTAAACCTATTCCTGTTGTTATATTGAAGGACCAGAGGCTAATACATTAGTTTTTTGAACTACTTAGTAATAAATTTCCATCTGATATGCCTTTACTTCCCTTGACTTCAAAAACAGAGAATTTACGAGGACACTCCAAAAACGTTCACAAGTTCAGAACAAATTACTTATCAGCTGAACATCGACTTCCCCATCGAATCATCAACGAGTGGAATTCATTACCTCAGTAAGTGGTTGAGGCTCCATCTGTCAACACTTTCAAAAGAAAGTTGGATCAACTGAGAAACAACCATTGCCAGGACTAACACAGGCCGTCAAGCCTCCAGTCCTTTCCAAACTGAAACTGAAAACTGTCAATCTAAGATTTCAGAAATCCAAATCTTATAACCAAACATCTAGATCTCTCCACTATTACCTCATACGCAAAAGTTTACACAAACAGTGGCCAGGATGATACCAGTTTGTTGACCCGATTTTGTGAGCCAATGAAAAGTGAAGGAACAGTCTAGAATATTCTACGCAAATCTACTCTGTTCCTATTGGTCCATTTGTTTCTATTTTTAGAAACCAAACAATAAATTCTAGAACATTCTAAACAGTATTTATAAAGGCACGCTCAGCGCGCGTTCGTTACTTGATTTTGTGTTAGACGCTGTACAATGCCCGAATCGATGGTTACCGAGCAACAACCTGAGGAGTTCGCGTTTCAGGCTGAGATCGCCCAGCTTATGAGCCTGATTATCAACACTTTCTACTCCAACAAAGAGATATTTCTTCGTGAGCTTATATCCAATGCTAGTGACGCTCTGGACAAGTTGAGGTATAAGAGTTTGACTGATCCATCAGTTCTTGATTCCGGAGAAGATATGTATGTCAAGTTGATACCCAACAAGGAGGCTGGAACTTTGACTGTCCTGGATACTGGTATTGGTATGACGAAAGCAGATTTGATTAAGAATTTGGGTACGATCGCTTCCTCTGGCACGAAGGCGTTTATGGAGGCTCTGGCTGATGGTGCAGATATATCGATGATTGGTCAATTTGGTGTAGGTTTCTATTCTGCCTACCTTATAGCCGACCGGGTTCAAGTAGTGACGAAAAATAATGATGACGACCAGTACATTTGGGAGTCGTCCGCTGGTGGAACTTTCACAATCGCACCAGATGACAGTGAGTTGCCAAAACGAGGCACTAAGGTGATATTGCATCTCAAAGAAGATCAGCTAGATTTTCTTGAAGAGAGAAAAATTCGAGATATAGTGAAGAAACATTCTAATTTTATTAACTATCCCATCAAGCTGGTTGTTAATAAAGAGCGGACCAAGGAAGTGTCTGATGATGAGGCTGAAAAGTCCGAGTCGAAAGAAACTGACGAGTCTGACGACAAACCGAAAGTCGAAGATCTAGATGAAGACGAGGAAGAGGAGAATAAGGAAAAGAAAAATAAAAAGAAGGTTGTGGAGAAGTATACTGAAGAAGAGCAACTGAACAAGCTTAAACCGCTCTGGACGCGTAATCCCGAAGATATAAATACAGAAGAGTATGCCGAGTTTTACAAGTCGCTTACTAATGACTGGGAGGACCATCTTGCCGTGAAGCACTTCTCTGTTGAAGGACAGTTAGAGTTCCGAGCGTTGCTGTTTGTGCCTAAACGTGCACCTATAGACATGTTTGAAGGATCGCGTAAGAAGCGAAACAATATCAAATTGTATGTGCGAAGAGTGCTGATCATGGATACGTGTGATGATATGATTCCTGAGTACTTGAATTTCGTCCGCGGCGTTGTGGATAGTGAAGACCTGCCCCTTAACATCAGTCGTGAGGTGTTGCAGCAGAACAACGTACTGAAGGTTATTCGTAAGAGCCTGGTCAGAAAATGTATTGAGTTATTTGAGGAGATAGCGGAGGATAAAGATAACTACAAGAAGTTTTACGAGCAATACTCGAAAAGTATAAAACTGGGCATCCATGAAGATAGTGTTAATAGGGGGAAGCTGTCCGACTTACTGCGTTTCTATTCCTCAGCTTCTGGTGATGAAATGATCAGCATGAAGGATTATGTATCACGTATGAAGCCTGAACAACAAGATATCTACTACATAACAGGTGAGTCAAAGCAAGCTGTAATGAATTCACCATTTACTGAGAAGCTTACTCAACGTGGATTCGAAGTACTGTTCATGGTTGACCCGATTGACGAATATGCTGTTACCCATATACGGCAATACGAAAACAAGAAGCTGGTTTGTGTTACGAAGGACGGTCTTCAATTACCTGAGAGTGACGAGGACAAAAAGCAATTCGAAGAGCTGAAGTCGTCGTTCGAAACGCTGTGCAAAGAGATCCAGCAAATCCTTGGCAAGAACGTTGAGAAAGTTAGTATTTCGAATCGACTTACCAATTCCCCATGTTGCGTTGTAACTTCAGAGTTTGGATGGTCTGCTAACATGGAGAGGATCCACGGGATCCGACGAACTGCATTCCAGGTTACTAAAGAAATTAACTTACTTCGTTGTGAAACCTTTAAGTACATGATTTAATCTATCCGTAACGCAGGGTCGTTTACCAAAAGACCAAAAGAACACCATACAAAGAGCGGCTTGAAAAACTAGACCTATTTACTCTGTCCTATGGCAGATAAAGAGGAGATCTAATTTGATATACAGAATACTGAGAAATGATGTTGGACCTAACTTATTATCTGTTTTTCTTCACATTAGATCGGGTCATCTCAGAGGACTTAACAGCGCAGTGGAAAAGCGAACGAACAAAATATCATTGGTATACAGGTTTTCACAACGAGTCATCAATTCTTGGAACCTGCCGCCCGAAGCAGTGGTGTCTGCACCTTCAATTGACTCATTCAAGATAAGACTGGACACTCACAGAAGCATACCAGAAAAGGAATTACATAGGCTGTAAGCGTTCTATTCTTACTACACAAATCTGAATTGAAAGTGCAGACACCACTGCTCCGGGCAGCACGTTCCAAGTATTGATGACTCGTTGTGAAGACCTGTATGCCAATGGTATTTTGTTTGTTCTTCGCTTTTCTACTCACCTTCTATGTCCTCTGAGATGTCCCGATCTAGTGGGAGGAAAAAGAGATAATAAGTTAGGTCCAACGTTTTTGGAACCTTATGGTCAATACGTAGGGCTTTTAGTCATGTCGACGCTAAAACACTTTTGACTTTGTATACAGTGTTCGTATGTCCTGAACTTGAGTACTGCATACAAGCGGCTAGCCCCTGCTTAAAAAAAGACTGTGAGCCTCTGGTAAAGGTTCAGAGAACAGCAACTAAGCTGATTACCGGAATAGCGAAGCTTCCGTATGATGCTCGACTGGCCAAACTACAACTTTTCCCGTTATCATATCGTAGAACTAGAGGCGACTTGATTACAGTTCTCAAATTGCTTAGTGATAAATTTGCCTCTGATATACCCTCGTTCTTCTTGCCTTCCGAAACAGAGAATTTACGAGGACACTCCAAAAAAGTTCACAAGTCCAGAACAAATTACTCGTCAGCTGACTATCGGCTTTCTCATCGAATCATCACCGAGTGGAATTCATTACCTCAGTAAGTGGTTGAGGCTCCATTTGTCGACTCTTTCAAAAGAAAGTTGGATCAACTGGGAGACCACCATTGCCAGGACTAACAAAGGCCTTCAAACCTCCTGCCCTTTCCAAACTGAAACGTGCTAAATGTGTTTCAAGTTTGCGGAGGTTGCATATTGTTGTGTGAATAATCTTTGACCAACCACGGTGGTTGTGGTGGAAATTGTTGGAAAATCTGTGGTTAGACTTCTAGATATCAATGACTGAAGTGCATGAAACCGACATAGCGACCAAATGTATTCTTAGGGGTGAGACTATAATTTATGGATGACCTTTGAGCGACGCTCCATTAACCTTGAAAATGTTCACCTAATAACTAGGACCAAATGAGTGTTATAAACCGGCGTAAAAAATTAGAATTATGATTTGCAACTGATGGTCATGGTGAGAATTAGATTTAGAGTTTTTATCACGAACTGACATCAGCTATGATTCCAAAACTCTGTTAAGCCAAACGGATGGGTTAACTTCGCGCCAAAATTTGAGGCCTGTTATCTAGTACCTAGTTGATTCGTCCATAAATTATAGTCTCGCCATTCCAGGAACAAGGTGAGTCTGATTTTGGTTGTTAATTCTAATACTAATGAGTATATTCAAGATCATACAGAGTTTGTATTCAATACACAGCCGAACAAACATGATGAACCTAATGGTAAGACCCATCGTTGATTACAGAAATTTGGATTCCCATTCTAGCTGTGGCGTTTGTGTTACTTGTATCAACTGATGATACCTTTGTACATTATTGCGGGTTGATGATGAATTCCAAATATAGGACGTTTATTTGAGCTCATCGAGTTTCGCCTTAAATTGAACTATTTTGAGAATTACTAGTTAGCACATTAAATTAAATACTCTTGATCACTGTAAAATCGTCTGCTGACTAGTCTCTTGAGTTATTATGGATGGTCACATTTTATCCGGCACTTTGGTTGCTTTGATACCATAGCATCCTTCGTCTATTCTTACTTGAATTATTTTGGCAAAGTTTTTGGATTTCCTTCAAATAGACTTTAACTACTTTTTAGTTAATAAACACACTAGTGACTACCTTGTGTGCTTTGTTGGTTTTTTCCCTTTTTAAATCTTATAAAATTCTTTAATTCTACTCATTGATATGGACATCCGTATTATTTCTTCTCTGTAGGTGAAGGAATGCAGTGTGACAATTACAGGAAGTAGTTCTGCAAGACGTGAACCCTTTTGAATCCCATCGCATACAGGAGATGCTGGAAGCCTAACTTCCATTGGTGTTGTATGTTTTTCTGTTTCAGTATGACATTACTTATCCTAGAAGCTATCAGCCTTCTAGCGCTGGCCGGCAGGAAATAAGATGAGGGCTGGACTGGCAAAATGAACACTGACAGCGAAGAATGTGTGAATGGGGATGTGTTGTCACGGGACGAGCCAACCACCCGACTGCAAACCATGTAGAGGCGAATTCTTTTCTGGCACAAATAAAGAGTGAAATAACACTGCCTTTTGATGTTCACGATCCCAAAGTAGTCCCTGAAGACCCAGATAAATCTGATACTGTTTTAAGTAGTCCTGACTGACGAGCATTCGTTGACAGTGCGGAAACATAAAAAAGAAAGAAAAATAGCCACAACCGGTGATCGTGTGGTTGGTAAGTCTTTGATAGACTCATATTCCGGGTCACTTATCCAAAGTCTAGGACTAGACTTAGCATTGGAGAAGTTGGAAAACTTTTGATCCCATGCAGTTTTATCGTGAGTTGCTCAGATCAATGGACTTGAATTCATAGAATGAAAAAAACCGGTAAATGACAGCACGATCCGAAGCCGTGAACACGACTCTCAAAGAAGTAAAATCTGTTCCTAATTTAGAGCATAAATGAGCCAAAATTAAATGACCCCGTCAGATGACAAACATATGATCTGAAGAGGATGAGGTTGGACCCAATTAAGGAGGATCTTGAAGTTGGCCCTCATAAGTCACAAGGGAGGGGAGATTATATTAAATAACACATACAAAACTGGCAAGCTGAATATTCGTGTCCAACCTGATTTATCACTTGATGAAGAAATCAAGTAAAAGAATGACCTTAATGAATTAAAAACTGGAAGCAAAGTGGCGGACCAGACCTTTCGGGTCTAACTCGAGAAGGCCCAAAATCATTCGACATGATGTACGATGGTTGGTGAATATCAGAGTCGTTATCTACCTCTTCTTGGCGTCTTTGTTTTAAGTCATATCTGTTATAGGAGTAAATCTTGTTGTTTATGCAGGTTTTGACACACCGTATATCAACTAGATAGACGTCACAAGTTTGGGGAAATGTTTTGACAGCAGCTTGTTGTCAGCCATTATTCGGTGCACACTTGTACAACGTATCGGAAAACCGACATATATTGACTTAGAACTTGAGGCATTATTTCTGAATATTATCTGTGCACACTACTGAGAATATGTAAATAAAATACCATACCTCTCACGACTGGCAAACAACGACCACATACTGTATCTAAGGTCCCTGTTAGAATGCTCGGTTTCCTCATCTACACATATGGTTTGTTAATTTACCTTAGACGAATATCTACACTAGATACCCTCCTAGTGTCCATTCTGCAGGGCTTCAATACTGCTCAGATCTAGAGCACGTGACTAGCCTGACTAGAACGTAAGTATATTTCCACACCAAAAACCGTCAATCAGTCAGCGAAAACGTAGAAATTCGTACGTACACACCGCACTGGCACAGAGATCCAATAATCGGTTTATATCCTATGGTGGTAGAGGTAGTAAAAAGTATAAGCAGCGATCGAGAAGACTATGGTTTGTAGATTTTATCCAGGGAGTATAATCCAGTGAAATCAATTCGGAAAAAGGAAACAAGAACATGAATTCGGAAGGTTAGAATTTGAAAGAACACAAAGAGTGGACACACCCACGCCATTGCAAACGATTTTGAGCCATTTTTAACTCAAGGTGGTTTACTATCATTTCAAAGATCCCGGTCGAATGGTGTACACCTACCAACATGGGTGAGTCCACTCGTCAGTGACTTTATGGATGTGCCATGTTTTGGTCTGGCTACCCCTACCTTTCTTTCACCCAACTCCTACACCATAAAACATCTCATGTCGGGGCAGTTGTTGGTTGGGTATACATAACACGTGTCCCAGCCGCCTCAACTGATGACATTTCACTTCATCAATCGGTTTGCCATCCTTACATAGTACCCGTTTCCTAACAACTGCATTATTTACGCGGTGATATATATACGAGCAATACTTCGAAGACACCCATGATCGAATATGTCATGGATGCAGAATAATATACCAATAATTATCGTGTTAAGTCTAACGGTGACCTTGGACTTTAAATGTACATCCCCTATTGGCTATTATTTAATTCATTCGTTACATATTGTGTAAATGTTGTTTTCTATTTTTATGGTATGACGTGGTTTGTTTGTTTGGTATATAAATAGAGTATGTCTGAAATAAAATGATTCATATCTCCGAGGCTGTGACTTGTGTTCTGGACTCAACTGAGTGGGCTAGACAGGGAAGCGGGACCAATCGAGACTCTAGGCCGTCCGTACGTGTTTACTTGTCATTGGATCGATCGATAAATACGCTGCTCTCTAATTTTTCCAGTCAAGGACACGACAATTAGCACAGGGTAAAAATCGACCCAACTTAAATTCATAACAGAATACTAGTAGCTTACGAGTATCTTCTAATTTTAATGGCAATGTTTCGCAGCCGTAAAGTAGAACAGAACGAACTGTCGCGCAGTATACTTGTCCCTTAATTGGTAGATGGATATCTCGGCTTCGCCATAGGTGACGTGAGTTGGCGACAGCCAAACGATCTTTTCGAATCCGTGCAGATATTTCGTCAGACACCAAACCATTAGGGTTGTCGACGCGCTCGACTACATCACTCACTATCATAAGTTCATGTACTGATGCAACCCAATCCTGAAGTAACATTCTACATTTCGAGGGGGAGAATCGCATCCCGAATAATCCCGCATTGTTGCTTAGAGTGGTCAGAAGACTCTGCAGTTTGTCAGCGTCTTCGCCAAATAAAACTGTCATCAGCATATTCTAAGTCAACAAGTGAACCTCCCGCTAGAAGTTCAACCCCTGGAAATCTA